ATAAAGCAAAAATTAATATAAAAAGGGGTTAACATAATGCTCGATTTTAAGGGTTAATTGTGTGAGTTAAGAAAAATAATTATATTTTTTAATTTCATGGAATTTACCGTTAGCTTTTTGCGTTTATAAAAATTTGGAAAAGTTTGCGGTTTCGGAAATATAAGGTGTCAAAAATTCAAATTTTACGAATTTCAAGAGGTGATAACTTGAGAGGGGGTGGAGATGGAAAAAAATTTTCTTCTAACAAAATGAACTATTTATTAATATCTAAAAGCTCCTAAAATTTCAAGCTTCTACAGTCTGGGGTCTAGAAGAAAAACGACATTAAAAATTTGGAAAAAAAGGACTTTAAATAACGGTAAATTTGAACGGCCATTTTGTTTTTCTTAAATTGAACTATAGTATACCGCGCAAGGGGAAGCAAGCCACTGCCTTTCTGCGTTTGCACAATTTCAAAAATGCTTATGGTTTCATTGCAACAAATATTTAAAAAAGGCCATTTTTAGGGTTTTGAGGGGGTATAACTTCTAGAGGGGGGGAGATAGGTAAAAATTTTGTTCTACGGAAATAAGTTTCTAGTGAAGATCTATGTACGTATTAAATTTCAGCTTTCTATCTTCAAAGGTGTAGAAGTTTTGTAAACAGACACACGGACAGACGGACGGACGGACGGACGGACGGACGGACGGACAGAGTGAAACTAATAAGCACTTTTTTCAAAAAATTTTTTGGAAAAGTGCTAAAAACGAGTAATGGTATAGAAAAACCCATAAGAGAAAAACAAAACAAACTGTGAATTCCTCTAAAAAAGGATTGTTTGCACATCATATTACGCCAACACCATCGACTTTATACCTAATGACGAAAGGGAAAGTATTTCAAAGCAAAACAAGACTGACAAGTAAGAACAAATGCATCTTGCGGTATAAATGACAAGGAATCTCAACCACTGGTGATTTAGAAGACCTATTCCTAATATTTTATTAGGTAGATAATCACAATAATTTCGTTCGATAATTCTGTTGAAGAGTCTGATACAACTCTAGTTAAGGTACTGGTCTAGAGAACAGGCCAGCAGAAATTTCCTCTTTTCAGCGATGTTGCCGAATCTCCTTCTTCCAGTTGCAACTTTAGTACGGCCATTAAAGATTCATCTCAGTTTTATTAGTTCGGTTACAACAGAAAGCATAATGCTACAATGTACACACAGATCAAGAAAAGGTATAGAAGTTTCTATATTAATAATGACAATTATTAATAATAATGACAATAGAAGCCGCAATTGAAAATGACACCAAATTTGTATAACTTTTCAGAGAAGTTTAAATGAGTTCTCCCAGCACCTGCGACTTCCAGGATTGAGTCGAACACCGTTATAATGGTGGTCGACTCCAACCCCAACCACATCACGAACACTATTAAGAAAAAACAATAGAATGAGAAAGCTGACACAATGGGCTATGCAAAAATGACCCCGACACTGTGTGGATACATCAAAAATTTTAATGTTTCATAAAATATTTCAAACACCGAAATTATTTTAAACAAAATTTAAAAAATATTTTATAAAAGTGAAAGGCTTTATATTAGAAAAACAACCTCTTGCCTTTATAGACAAACTATAGATGGTTACCGCATTAATTTTACCGAACATGTTATTCATATATAAATATTAGCTTTATATTAGAAATATTTGAAATTGAAAATATTGGCTAAATGCCAAATAATTATTTGATAAATCTTATAACATATACATATAACAAATGTATGTACGTATGTACATATATATGCGTTGCGGGGCAAGCAGAAATACTCAAAATAACAATATTTTCCCCCCTGTCAGGTAAATATTTTCATATACATATGTAAATATTAATATTTTTTTTTTGTTTTACTCGTATTCCGTTCCGCTTCGCTCTACAAAAATAATCAAAATATAATTTACAATGTACATTGTACTTTAATATCGTAAAATTTTTTTCTCTTACTAATTCAAATTTAATCAGGATTCGAAATATTTAATATAATGTAATAAATTTCGCATGAAAAGATGAAAAAATAAATAAAAATAAATTATTGAAAATTTTTAAAGAAAATAAATTATTTTTCAATATAATAAAAATTTATTTTTTGTTTATAATTTTACAATGTATGTATGTCGAAGTAGAATTATGCAATGTGATAAATTAAGAATCGCGTCCATGTCAATAATATACGATAAACAATACTTAAAAAATTATTTCATATCGTATGCGTAGATTGATTGAAATTAATGATTTTTTTAATGTGAAAAAAATATAGGAAAATTTTTTTATTGAACATAAGAAAAAATATTTGAAATAAATTTTAAAATTTGTTTAAATTTATTTTATTTCAGTATACTTATAGGTATTTGTTTGTGTATAGAATTAATATACATGGTGTATATTTATATATCAGTAAGCTAAAATTCTTTTGGGTTTGCTATTTGTAAGTCGTAAGTTTAGTTACCTACTATCTGAAGATTCTCATAACCTGGTAAATGCTGTTAAATATACAGTGAATCGAATGGGGGCAAGAGGACATTTATACCTGCAGACATTCATCACTTATTGCAGCCTGAACGCCCTCTTTCCCACTATCACCAAGGAAAGTGGACAGCAGTTCCGAATGCTTAAGAAACCCAGTACGAAATGGTTTCGATCCCGGACAGTTAGTGCGCTAGTCTCAAAAAATATGTAATGTGGCTTCGTCACTTCGATTTTAAGCAGGGGAGATTTTACTGGTTTATTTCAATTTAATTGAATGTTTTTATTCCTGAGAGTATCCGATTTCATTGTCGTTCTCTATTTCTTATAAATTTTTCTTATATACATATATTATTATTTATCAAAATAAAATAATGAATAATTTATAAAAAAGAAACTTTTCATAATTTATTAGTATTCACTAAAGATCACCATAATGATCAATCACAACAGGTGCTGTTTTATACTTGAATTTGTTATACAATCAAAATAATTAAATGTGAGACAAAACATTAAAAAAAAAAAATGTGTCTATATATGTATAATATGAGCAAAACATTAAATTATAAACAATTAAGAATATTATTTTTATTAATTCTAAAAATGTTTTGATATTTTTAAATTTTTCTTAAAATAAAAGCAAAATTTCTGCAGACCAATTACAATTCTTTTTAAGTTTAATAAGTGTATAAAATTTCGTAATTACACTTATTTTGTCTAATTGATATGAAGTGTTCGTATGTATGTATATTTTTACATAAATAACATTTATACAATTAATAAAAAGTTATTGGACAAATAAATGATGTCAGTAAAATGGAATGACACTGGCGTCGGGTAACTATTATTAAATTCGTCATTAAATTTTCATATTGTACAAAGAAAAATTTCTTCCTTAATATTGAACGTCGGATAACCACGCATTCTTGTAAATGAAATTTATTACCAAATATAAAATTTCTTTTTAGACTACTACGCGATCTCACATTCATCTCACATTAAAACTGATTCATTTATTGAGGGTTCTACTTATTTGGTATTCAGGTATTTTTATGATTCTAATTTTCCTTTTATTTAATTTTTTTTAAAACTATATCGAAATTTCAACTACACTCGTCATCTTGAGGACAATTTTAAATAAATATTGCGGAATTTCTACAAAATTGAAATAAATAGAATAAAATTAATGCAAATAACAACAGTGACTTATAGAGTTTAATGTAGAGAAAAGAGAAATAAGTATTGAAATTTTATGTTAGGCTCAAGATTTAAAATTTAATTGAATGAGAGAAAAATTAAAATTTAAACTTACATTTTTCTATTGCCCACATTTTATATTTAAAAATTTTTAATATTATAATAAATAAAATAAAAAACGTGTTGCACGAAATTAATAATTTATAAAAATTAAATAAATAAATAAAATATTTAATTAAAATAATTTTTTTAATTAAATTTTAATTAAAATTTTTAAAAATAGTAATTTTTAATGATTGGTGACACTATGTTGAATTTAAGTATTAATGTAAGTCTTTTGTTTGTACTTATTGAAATAATTAAAATTTTTTACAAATCAGAATAAAAAATAAGGCTTAGACTGCAGGTTTTACGGTTTATTAATTCGATGCATTTACTAAATTTTGTATTAAAAATATTATTGTATAATTTTCTTATAAAATCTGATATAACCTAGTTTTAGAATTAAGAGAAACGGGAAAAACTGTATAGTTTATCTTTATAACATTGTTTATCAATAGAAATGTCATGTAGGGTTGAACCGTTTTATATAATTTAATATTTTTCCTATAATATGCCATTATTTCGAAATTGAAAATTTGTGAGTTGAACAGGTTTAATTTTGAGCTTCATTTGGAGAAGAAAGATATTGAAGATTTTATCATATCAAACAACATAAATATATATTTTCTTAGATCAGAGTAATGTAAAAAAAATAAAAAACAAATATTTCTTTCAATAGGATTAAGGTCTGTCTGTCCGCTTGTCTGTAATGTTATTATACAATATTATTTCCTTCATTTACATAAATACAATATTGCGATCAATCATAATATATGCTGACCAAATCAGACTTATTTTATATATTAATGCAATACTATGGCGACAGTAACGGGACAGTAATTAACATGAGAATCAATAAAAAAATTGATACAAAAAATTTTTTTACATATTTGCATTTTAGTAAAATATATGGCCTTATAGCCTTTCTAAAATTTCTTTAAAAAACTCAAAAATGAACAAATAACATTATTTTGAATTAAAATGTTCTGCAACAATTCTCGGACTTCTTTTAAAGGAACCTCTTCTCGTCTTAATTTAAAATAAAAAAGAAATTGTTAAGAAAAGAAATATTTGTAATTATTAGTTTTAGCTTTAAGCAATTGCAATATATAATTATAAAATAAGGTGTGTTATTTAAAATAATTAAATTGTAAAATTTTTATTTTTTGCAATTTGGAAAGAACAATTTTTTACCTTTTCTAATTCAAATTCTCTAATTTTATGTATATGACCGGGTGGTTTTTTATGCGTCGACATTTTTAATTATTTTATTTTTCTATTTTTTTTTTTTAAATTAAATAATTCACTTTTGTTTTGCTTTTGTTATTTATTTCAGATAATAACTTAAATTTAATAAATATGTTATAAATCTATTTCTAAAATTTTATAATAATTTATTTAAAAATTATTATTATAAAAGAATTATCAATAATACTATGTAAATTTTCTCTTTTATTATTATTTATTTTAATAAATTTGTTTATTTTTATATTAAAAAAAAATTTTTTAAAAATAAATTAGAAAATTATTATTTTTTTCAAATAATTTCACTTTAATATTTTTTTTTTTATTGAAAATCATAAACATTTTAGTAAATTTTCGTAATGAATCACATTTCTTTTTAAGTTCATTACTAAATTTTTATATTTAAAATTGAAAATCAACCAAATCATTGCTATAAGAGAGAAATGTGTAATTTTTAATTTTTTTTGTTTTTGTTTCCTCTATAATATTTTAATTAATGAAAAACCATTATTATTATGTATCAAATATAATATTAAAATTTTATTCTCATTTTTAAGTTCTTTAGCACTTTGAATTTGTTTGTTTCTTCTTCTTCTTCTTTAAAAAAATATTATTTTAAGCTACTCTGGAAATGAAAAATAGAAACAAATAATAAAATTATATTCGTTGTGTGTGTGTGTATTTAAATAAAAAATAAAAAATTTAAATTTCAATCTCTTGTCCGTTCTATAGAATTTATTTTAAGTTAAAAACAAAAAAAAAAAAAATAATTAAAAAATAATATAAAAAAGCTGAAAAAGCGACACTTTTTTCATATACAGCGATTTTGCATTCTTTTAAGCAAAAAAAAAACCAAAAAAAAAAAACAAAAGTTTTTTTTTTTTGTTTCATTATTCTAGTCACAAAAAATCATAGATTATTAGTTTATCTTTTGTATTTTTCTTTTCTATTACACTCAAAATTATTTTAAAACAAAATGAAATTTTTAACATTTGAATTAGTTTCTCTTGTATTCGCACATATTTATAGACATACGTACATGTATACATATTTGTTAAAATGAGATATAATGAGAAGAATATACACATGTGTATTGTACATGTGAAGAAAAAAGAAACAAAAGAAAAAAAAAAATAATTTTTTTTCTGGGCTAATATTGGCAAATTTCCAAAATGACGTCATAAAACGCGCGGCGTCTAGCCCCATACCAATATAATGTAAATATCTATGTTGGTACATTTAATTTTTCTTGTCTTTTCATTGTTTTAAATCTATATATATATATATATATATATATATATATATATAAATACATATAGTTTTATTAAATATTATTAATATTTTTATTATTGGTTTCATTATTATTGTGCGCTGTATATTAAATATTTTATATTGTATACATTTTTACATAAACGATATTATAATATATATATATATTTAGGTACATGTACATATTAAATTTTGTGAAATCGAATTTTGTTTAAAAGATTTTGTTTTTTTTTTTTAATATCAATATAGTACAGTCAATTTATATTTTAATTTATTCATTAAATTATTATTATAGATTAATTTTATTTCATATTGTTCTACTATCTTTTAAAAACAAACAATTAAAACAAAACTGGAGGTTATTGTCTTATATTATTTACGATAATTATAAAGAAATGATTATTAGCCGTATTTTGATAATAGATTCGCGGAAATAATTTTTGTAAATTCAAAATATACCTCTCATATTTATGGCTTAAATAAGTAATTGTACTTGGACCAGGATTAATGTTAAAATTATTCCAATTTTTTTACCAAGTTAAGTTGAAATTAATAAAAATTTCAAATTTTATTTATTCGAACGATAAAGAAATTAAAATTTTCTTGTGTTCATTTTCAGTTTTAATTTTTCTGGCAATGTTTTAAAAAAATTGCATACTTTTAGGGGTCCGTTCGCAACAAAGTAAATGTAATACCCAAAAGAAAAATATATGAAATTTGGGAGTAATATTGTATACATTATATTTTAATTTTAATTTTTTTATTTTAAATTTTAATATACATATATGATAGGAAAAATATTCAAAAGAGTAAACAAGCGTAAGAATTCTATTGCATTGAGCAATGTAGTGTGCTTATTTACGACATGTTAATAAGCAAAATTAAGAAAAAGAATATGGAGACAATTCCATAATAGACCCTCCTGTCCCTAGAGATTTCATGAAATCCAGAAAAATGTTAAATGTTCTTAATTCTTCAAAAAATTAAGATGAAATTCGTACTATGGTCATTAGTTTACAATCTATATAGTTCAATAATTATTTATGCTTGAAAATTTTGTTCAATTTAATACAACATAATTTTTTTTTTAAAAAATTTTTTATTAACACTTGAATAATATACTTAATCCCAAAATAGGCTTGCGACACAAGTTTATTAATTTATAAATTTTATAACTTAGAATTTCTTTTTTTGAATACTTTTTAAAATATTAAATAATATAAAAAAATAATTAACGGCAATAATATTAATTCTCCATTTTTATGACTTTTTAATGTTTTTTATAGTGTGACTGTACTATTTTTACATATTATTATTTTTTTTTTTAAATTTATCATTTTAAAATATTGAAAACAATAGAAAAGATTGAGAAGAAGAAAATTTTAAAATTTTATGGTTTTATTATTTTATTTTTTGCTATACCATATTTTATGTGTATGTTGTGGTGTGAAATTTTTATGTACCATGTATAAACTAGTGCCATGTATACTAAAGTATTATTTAACAACACAGGGAGGAATAATTTTTCAATTCATTTTTTTTTAACTTAATTTTTTGTTAAACACTTTAATAATTTTCCAATATATTTATTTTAATTTTAATAATATTTTTTTATTTTCCTTTAATCTCGTTTTTTATTTTATTTAATGGTTGTATTATTTTTATTCATTAAATTTATAAATATTATTAACATGTTACATACGAGTATTATTCAATTTTCTAGAGCAATTTAAGCAAAAAACAAAAAAAGAGAGAGAACTAAATATTTAGGTTAACTGGTACTTGAATTGGTTTTATATGTTTTTTTTTTGTTTTATATACAGATATGAGTTGTTATTTAAAGAAAAACCGAATATTAGTGTATTTGTGTACCGATCTTATATCGATCATGTACTTCCTTGATCTTTTTGTTTGAGTTCATTCCGGTCTATATATATACACATATATATACTTTTTACTAATAAATATTAATATTTCAAAAGTACACAAATACTTGAACACATATTTTAGTTAATTATGTATTATGTATATACACTTATGCTTTGATTTGCATGAACACTATATGAAAATCCTAACCGTATAATACTTCCAAGCCTTCCGCAATTCAAGCGTATAGTACTTTGAGTATATAACATTTAAAGCGTATAAAACTTTGAACGTATAGCAGTTTAAAAATATAGCACTTAAAACATATAATGCTTCAGACGTATAACACTTTGGACGTATAACATTTTAAGTGTATAACACTAATAATCGTATAACACTTAAAACGTATAACAGTTCAAGAGTATAATATTTTAAGCGTATATAATTTAGTGTATAACACTTTAAGGGATTTAATATTTCAAGTGCAATACTCTAATGACAGTCCTTTCTGTATTATGTTTTCGTAAGAAACTAATCACCTCTCTTAAGTACAAAGAGCGTAATTATTTACCTCGCATTTTGGTTAGCTCGTGAGAAAAAATTAGAAGATTTAATTTTTTCAATAAAGTTTGTCAATTTTTCACAATTATATGAATATATAACGAAAAGTATAATTCTTAGTTTAATTATTAGTGATATATATCACATTTATATCACAATAAATATAAATGCGATATATATATAATATATATATATTGATATCTACTATATATGATATATTAAGTGTATTGTGATATATATCGTATTTATATCACAATAAATTAATTAATTGAGTGAAAAATTGAAATTGAGACGCAGGCATAAAATTTATCTCATAATTTTCGTAAATATTTTTCATATTTTCAAAATACAGTATCACGTAAATTAAAGGATAAGTGTACAAGATTTTATTTTCAAAATACATATGCAAAAACAAAAATTTTAAGCATTTATGTGTGTGTTTTTTTTTTGTGTATATTGATTCTCATTTAGAGTACAAAAAAAAAAAATCTATTTTTAAAACATTGCGATATAAAAATGAACATTTTTATTTTATTTTGTGGATGCAAAAAATGAATTCAATACCAAAATGATAAAATACCAACGATGAAAAAAGACAAACCAAAATTAAAATTAAACAATTTTTTGTTTTATTTTTTTTTTTACATATTTCAACTATTTATAATTTTAAATTTTAATTAAACATTTAATTTTTTTTTTTGATTCACACTTAAAATTTTTTTAGCAAATAAATTTGATTTTTTTAAATTTTTTATATTAAATCACAAAATTTCCTTAAAAATTTTAAAAATTATATAAAATTAAAAACAGAAACTAAAAAAAATTTTATTTCTTATTTATTTTTTTAATATGAGAATAAAAAATTTTTACCACAAAATTTGAGCTATTTTTATTAGATAATAATAGAAAATTTATATATTAAGAAAAAAAAAGAAAATTTGAAAAATAAAAAAAAAATTTAAAATAAAATAAGACGAAAATTTGAAAGGAAACTACACCGTAAAACGAAATATGCTCTAACGGAATTTTTTTTATTAATTTTGCAATATTTTTTTTTTTACTGTCAAGAATTTCAGTCTAAACTTTTCGCTTTCCCGACGCTAACTAAAATAAGATGAATTTTCTTCAGAAAAAAAAAAAAATTTTGTATTTTTCTTTATTTTTCCAATCTTTTCTATTGTTTTCAATACAATATTGTAGTCCCGTTCTTTAAGTTTTTTTTTTCGTTAAGTTTCGTTAAAAATGAATACTCTGTTATAATTATGTGCATGTATATGTTTAAGTTTTCATTTTTAACGAAAACGAGTCACGATTATTTTAATTTGCGATCATTGTTAAATGATAAAAGTGATTATTTTGTGTTTGTACAAAATCGATCAATTAAAATGGGGTGGCGGGCCGGCCCGTTCCATTGTTTTTATTATATTTATACTTCAATGTATTTGTTTTTTTTTGTTTATTATTTATAAAAAGCAAAATATATATGTGTTTTTTGTTTTCTTTTATGAA